ATATATATATATATGAGTGTATAAGTTAACCGATTAAATAGGTCAATATCTGGTCCCTCCTTCCTCAATATTAAGTATGATAGAAAGAAATATTAAAATAAACCCTCCCTAAGCTCGACCATGTCTCTCACACCACCCCTCACTACGCTCTCTGTTAAATTACATAAACTTAATACTACCCGTCAAAAGTGTAAATTTTCATTTCATTTTTCGTTTACAGTTTTTGGAAGTGATGTCTGAGGATCCAGCGTCCTTTAAAAGGTCTCTGTTGAAATAAATTATTACAATGGAACCTTAAAGTGATCTGTTTTTCTTTAAATTATTAGCTCTGAATTTACATTGAGCTCTCAGAATTTCATCCTCCTTGGGACTACCCATACGGATTACCAAATTTTTCGAAACTTAACTATGAGTGTGTATATATATATATATATATATATATATATATATATATATATATATATATATATATATACGTCCATTTATTTATAATTATCAGTGTATGTCAATTTATAAAAGTGTAAGCTTACAGTAAACACAGGCAAAGCAAAAGACATACGCCTTTCGTTTTGTCAGGTCTAAAGCAGGGCGCTTTTAGTGTTTCATAACCCTCTCGTCACTTCCAACCCTATCGCACTCTATCGAGAAATCAGTGCAGCACATTTTTCGACATGTTTGCGTTATATAAATACCCTTTTTTATATACACGTACGGATGCTGAAGGAAGAACGCACATGCCTGCTGCTACCGACACAAGTACAGACACGTGGGTCCACAGACGTCGTTTGATATAAACAACTAATATAGGCATGTTTCAATTAAGCGAACCTATTAAGCCAGAGATGCTAGAGGCACGGTAGAGTAATGGATAGCGGTTCGGATTGAGGAATCGGTAGGAGCTGAGTTCGAATTCCAGTTGAATCCATTACATTCACTTACCTGCTAATACCACTGGGAAAGATATGTATCCTCTTCTTCACTCCTCCCCCAGCTATGGGTAAATAGAATGACAGACCGGGTTCTATAGCCTTGGATGGCAACTGATTTGCCGCAGAAAGAAATGGCAACCTAGTGTGCGGAAAAATCTGCCTCGTCAGTCATGTATCACGCATGGCACATAATTGACTAAGATACTAGAGAACTAACAGCCCGGGATATGGAACTGAAAGGCTGTGTTTCAATCCCGGCTAATAATATTTCAGTTCATTTCGTCTTTGTGCCCTAGTGAAAGACATGAAACTGTCACTAACCCTGAAGGAAAACTCGGAAATGAGGATCCCAAACCACGGAGAAGTCGTCGGGATAACACTTTCCCAAGCACAATCATAGCAATGTAGAATTTACTGATATTAAGGAAAAAATAGGATCTGAGCTGTAGCTACCCAATCACCATTATCCAGTCCCGACAGCGGCCTTGTGGGTGATGAATTATTCTCCACACTGCGAGCCTTCCCGCACAGACGAAACGTTGCTATTCTCTCACTAACCTATCGCTATTACTATGGCAGATGGTCAGGCGAGTTACATTCCTTAGTTCCGCAAGCTCAGGCCTTTACAGCTCATGCCTTTACAGCTCAAGCCTTTGCAGCTCAAGCCTTTACAGCTAGAACGCAAAGATATATTCACGGTGGCAAACCATCCCCATTCCGTTTGTGTCCCTACGATAAGGAGCAAGTTCCACTCAAACAGCACCTTTCTCAGAATTGTTGCTTTGTGGAACAGACTTCCGAAAGAATGGTCTCCTGGCAACTATTATTTTGGTCTCTTTAAATGCAGAATCAACCCATGTCTATCCTACCCGTTCTTATAATATGCGTTTCTTGATTCCTCCTTCGCCTCTTCCTTACGGCAATCTCATTCAGTAACCCACTACCTTAGGTGGCTCTTGGGCCTTGTATTGGTTAAACTATCAATGAATAAAAGCAGACATAATCACCTACATTCAGGACAAACCTAAGAAATTACGCTTTATTTCCGAAAACTTGAGTTGTCAGAAATTCAAGCGGTTTTTTTAGGTATTAAACATTTTGTGGGCTGGACAATTATCCCATGCTGTTATACGATTTGGACAATCTTGCTGTTACACCCGCTTTACTTCCGAAGAAGTAATATTTGAATTCTCTCTCTCTCTCTCTCTCTCTGTCTTTTACATGAAGAATATGTTACAAAAACCGTCCTCTATTTCCTATAAAATAAACCTATCGAGAAAAGATAACTTGGATTGGATATATATATATAAAAAAAAAAAAGACGGACTAAGGGAAACAGCGAGTGAACTACTGAAAAAACTTGTATAAAAGAAAGCAGAACAGCGTGGGAAGGATAGTAATATATATATATATACCTACAATAGACAGGATGTCGGGGTGAGACATAATGGTCTACGTCCTGAAGGGACACGGCACATGAAAGAAGAGTTCTATATATCGCAAGGGCCCTTTCAGCAACAAGTTCGTACTCACCATGAAACACGAGTTCGCTGAAATTTTCAATTTTTCCCGATCAGTTATTTCGAACAAGTAACATTTTTTTATAAAGCTAAATTAACATTTTGCTGTAACATTCTGCCAGAAATGTAACCGAACAAAAGAATCGTCGAATTTGTGTATTTTTCGTGAGATATTTACTCCAGCAAGGAGCTTCGTCATTAGCAAACCGTAACCATCTGGCAACGATGATGGAGTTTGTACTCCTAAACGCTAATTCAAAAATCGTACTACTGTGCCATTCATCTGTTATGCACATGGTGAACGATGTTATCAGATGCTGTAAACAAGTACACACGTGCATTAATACAGAGAAATATAAAGACGCGCACATGCATACGATTTTCATGTGTGTGCACTCCCACATCTATATACAGTGTCACGCAAAGGTCTACAACACATTACAAAAAAATGTTTCTTTAGGTATTTCTAACACGTATTAATGAAACTTTTACTGATAATAATCCGTGTTTAAGCCTTTAGTCAAAGAATCAGATTTAAAATAATAATCAATAAAAATATCCCACGAAGAAAAACCCAGATTTAATAACGCAAAAATGTACAATACATTTATTAACTCATTAATATTTCGCAGCGTAACCGTTATTGCTAATTATAACATATAGGCTGTAATTAGCAATACGAATTTCTTGTATGCTTCTTGTCTAATATTTTTCAATTCTTCACAACAAAATTCCTTTAGATCTTCCAGGTTTTGCGGGTTCCTTTCAGCTCTCTCCATAAATTTTCAATCGAATTGAGATCTATAGATTGACTTGGTCGCTTTAGAACGTCTATTCTATTTGAACCATGATTTTGTAATCTTTACAGTATTTTTAGGATCATTGTCTTGTTGAAAGACCTAATCTGGTTTCAAGCCCAGCGAATGTGCACTCTGACGTAAATTTCTTTCCAAAATATCCCTATAACATGCTCCATTCATCCTCCCTTCAATTATTTCAATGTTCCCTACACCTTGGGTACTAAAGCAACCCCAGATCATGATTGATCTGCCTCCAAATGTTACTGTTGGGATAGTATTCTTCGACGAATATTCAGTACCATTCTTTCTCCAGACCTTTGCCACATCATTTCTGGCAAAAACTTCAATTTTTGTTTCGTCTGACCAAAGTACATTTTCCCAAATGCTGCAGATTTGATACAATGCTCATGTGCATAATTCAATCTAGCAAGAACGTGTTTTCGCTTAAGAAGCGGCTTTTTCTTTGCAGTCCTCAAAAATGAACGGCTAATTGTATCCGTACTCACCTTAACTCCACTTAATTCTAGTCCTCCCTGAAGTTCTTTAAGTGTAACTCTGGGTTTGTTGCTAACTTTTCTTGCCAATAATCTTGCTGTACGTTCCGTTACATTTTTAGGACGACCATGTCTTTTTTTTTGGGGGGGGAATGCAATGACACGTCTACCATTGACGAACTGTCGTACCAACTGAACTCAATGGCACATTTCACTGACTAGATATCTTTCTATAACCAAGCCCATATGTATGAAAGTCAACCATACATTTACGTAGGTTTTGATCGATTATTTTGCTTTTCCCCATTTTGTCAGTGTTTAAAGGACGGGTGATAGAAAAAGAATGACGCAATACTTTCAATTCTTCCTAAAAGTGATCATAAAATTAATCTGGAACATTAAAAAAAAAAAAAACAACCCCATCCTAATTTGGAACATTCTAGTGAAATTTGAACACTTTTATATAAAAAAAAAAAGAAGAAAAGATGTAAATAAAAAAATGTGTTGTAAACTTTTGAGTTACTAATTATCAGTTTTTTAAAAAATCTGATTTTTTAACTGAATACCTAAATATATGTGCAGTAAAAGTTTAATTAATGTAACTGTATTAGTTGTAAACTTTTGCGTGGTACTGTACACGCACACACACACACACACATTTATAGATGGTTCTATAAGATTTTTACCACAAGCACGCACACACATAAACACAGACACACACATATATATACATAATTTAAATATGTATACATAATTGCATACAAATATATATATCTACATAAGAATAAATTTAAACACTAATTTTAATAATAATAATAATAATAATAATAATAATAATAATAGTAATAATAATAATAATAAACAATTGGTCCTCTTGTATTAGGTTGCACAATGTTAGTACCAACTGAATAGAAAACTATGAGCTGATACAAGCCGGTCAATTGTTTCTTGGTTTTTTAATAAAGAATCTACGTTTCGGGTTAACACAGTTTTTCAGTATGTGTGTTTGTGCTTGGTAATTTCCAGTTAACAAGCATCATTGTTATTATTATTATTATTATTATTATTATTATTTATGTAATTTCCTGTTTACAACAAATATCACGTGGTCATCGCTGACGATGGATTGAAAGCAAATCTTCTCCAATCTCCAGAACCTTCCTCAATATCCTCGCGGGTCCCAGCAATGTCTTCTTCAATGCAGTCTTAAGCCTTTCTACGATTTCCGCCTCAACCTCGATTCTATTTTATATCGCCATGGATGCCTCCTTTTTCTTTTTTTATCTCTTCGTTTCCACTTTTTTCTTTATATTTCCTTTTCTTTTAGGCGCCACTCAATCTACATCTTCGTTCCCCTTTTTACCTATTTTTCCTACAAGATGAGAGAGAAATATTGTCAATAGTCACCCCACTGTAAAAAAAAATGTTTCATGCTTAATCTGATTACCAAACATCATTATTATTATTATTATTATTATTATTATTATTATTATTATTTTCTTTGATTTCTGGCGTTTACACATTTCTTTCCGGGTTCCGCCCAGGGACCTAAGGTTAGAAATGGCGTCATGACACTTTCCACTGACAAAAAAAAAAAAAATTTAATTACATAGATAAAGCCCTTCGTAAGGTGTGGGCTGTACTTGTCAGAACAATTTTTTGTATCTCCTTGAGGCATGGACTTCCAGGAATCCCTTCAATTAGTCTACTGCAATCTTTTCCAACCAGTCCTAGGGCTCCAACTACAACAGGGATTGTTGATGTTCCCATATGCCACATTTATTATTATTATTATTAGTAGTAGTAGTAGTAGTAGTAGTAGTATTCCATACCTATGGATATTCTCAACAGAGATCTAAAGACTGATTGAAAGCAAGTATTCTCAAATTTGCAGCACCTTCCTCAGTATGCACTTCGATTCCAGCAACGTAATGCTCTCTACTCTCCAAACTCTCCCTAAATTTCCAACTCCTTCAATCTCGATTCCAGTGTTTTTAACACACACTCAAGCGCACATATTCTTATGGCCCTGATTCTACTCTTCATATTCCATATCAGCTCATGGCCATGATGGTGGTCATTCTCTAATTTCGTTAAATATATGGACTGCTGACATGTTTTTCCTTATTTCCGACTATAAGAACATGTCTTTGTGCTTGCATGGGATGGTCAGCCTTGGCGTCGAAATCTCACCGTATTTTGTGAGCGTGTGTTTCCAGAAGAGTATCTGGTATGTCGACATGGTTTAAATCGTTTGCACAGTTCCCAGACTGTCGTCACCCTGTCTTACTTTCTTTTGTATTCTTTTTTTTTATCCAGCATTTTTTATTATTTCTTGGTGAGAATACTAATTATTAGTGTTGCTATAGTTGTTAGTAATTTTTACATAATCAGTTTTACACTAGTAGTAACTAGTGACTTTGCTAGAAATCAAGTGACAACAAGTATCGACTCAGTTTTTTAACTGATTTTAATAATACTGTCTGTGGGTGGTTCCAATTTCTTCAGTTCTTCCAGCCTTCTTACAAGGTTCTTTAGAAATGTTCTGATATTAATTGCAATCGTAAAATTAACTGTTTTCATACCGGAAACATTCAGTATTCAGTGACGCTTCCTTATTGTCGGTTGAAATTTATAAACTCTTTTAAAACATTTTTTCCGGAAAATAGGCTTCTTGTGTCCACTAACTCTTAATGTGCTTTCTTTCTATTAATGATAAATAAAACTGTCATCATCATATTCTACATAATGCATGGTCATCAGAAAAAAAAATAAGACGATTTCGAAATGCGATTTACAGGTCGGGGAACACTAAAATCAAGCAGATGCGGAAATTTAAATATCTGGGAAGTGTTCTGACAGAGGACGGAAAGTACAACGCTAAGATCCGAAGATGTATTGGGATGGCCAAAGACGCATTCCAAAAGTTAGGAAGGGTATTACGAGATAGGAGGGTTTCGTTGCTAACAAAAAAAGAGTACTGAACTACTATGTGATATCTCTCCTCCTTTACGGCAGCAAATTTTAGACAATCTCCTCAAAGATGAAGAAGAGACTCGAGCCAACTGATGTATGTGTTGTAACCTATGAAAGGTTACGGAATAGAGTAATCAAATGAAGGTTGGTAATGAATGATAATACTTAGGTCAAGAACAGCACATATAAGATTTGCCAGCGGCGCGTAGAAGTGAATTCCACAGTGAATCTTCAACTGATAGACAACAATACAGTATTCACTACAGTATTTATGTGAAAGGAGACATACTCATTATCGTCCATAGGTATGCTATAACAATATGGTTCTACAGAAGGGTGCTAAGGATACCATGGACAGAGATGAGGTTTTGGAGAGGATGCAAACAAAGAAGCAACTTATACGTAACACCAGGAAGAGGCAGCTGAAATTTCTGGGACACGTAATGAGAAAGGAGGGCTTGGAAAATCTGATACTCACAAGGCGGATATGTGGAAAGAGGGACAAGGGCAAGCAACGCGTGACATACTTAACGGGCTTAAGGAAATGGATGACAGAACAGGGTCTGGAGAGAAATAACAAAAAGACAAAACTTATTGATAGCTACAATAGACAGGGAGAAGTAGGGAGCCCTGAACACCTACGTCCTGAAAGGACACGGCATATAAAAGAAGATGGTAATCCTGCATGCATTCACAACAAATAAAATAAACAAACGTTTGAAGGCAATTCAATTGGAAAAAATCAAGGAGAAACAACGTAGTTATAGATTTCAACAAATAACATGCATTTATATACGTTTGATATACACAAGTGAATTTTAAGATTGCTTGTTCAATGTAATAAGTGAGATAAAATTGTAAGGAATGATCATGCAGTGATTTGGTGTATGAAAGCTTGTAGTTAAGGTTTGTCTATGAAATTAAAACAGTTTGCTTTCTTGAAATGTCACTTGTGTGGGTTCAAATATTAGTGTGTATGTGTGCGACAATTATAAATATTGTTTGAGTTATGTGCTTTTGACTGATATGATGTAAGTTGACTAAATACAATTACTACTTTGGTAGTGATAATGTCACTTTTTCTAGTAAATTGTAAGTTGGGTCAATTCGCGCGGCAAGACTTTCTGAGTTGTGTTGAGATGCTGATAAAGAGAGAGAGAGAGAGAGAGAGAGAGAGAGAGAGAGAGAGGTGGTTGTTGAGTCAGTGTGCTGGAGTTTGTTGGCATCTCTCAAAAACTTAGTTACTGACTGCCTTAATCAAGTAAAGCGATCCTATTTAATGATTTTTTGGGGTTTCAAACCGGTTCCAAATAGATGCGCAGGAAAACAGATTTGTCGCAACTTGCTACATTTTTTTGGTTCCTTTTAACCAATGAGAAGTCAAGTTTAGAAAAGTGTAGTAATGATTGGTTGAAGTTGGTTTGGGAGTGAGTAGAAAATGATGAGGATTCCATTAATGTAAAGAAGACAAACAAACAAGACCGATATATATATATATATATATATATATATATATATATATATATACATAGACATGGACATAGACATTTGTATGTGTGTGACATAAAGAGTGTCTATTTTGCTGAATATTCGTACATACGTGTATGTGTGTATAATGTTCACGGCTTCTCCCACAAATGGTAAGATGCTAATCTTCTAAGAGAGCTTACATTGTAATCGCTTAAATAAAGATATGAAAAAGAGGACGAGGCGAGAAGTCGTCCAGTATTTATAATGTAAGGAGAGCGCCCCTAGTGGACAAATTAGGGAATTAAGGAGGAGCTAACTCCAACAAGTTGACACACTACTTGATCCACTGAGTTGGCACATTACTTGATCCACTGAATTGACCACTGAATATTAACTAGGAAAATCGATGGACTAATCATGTTTGATGATCATGCGCCTCGCTTTTATATCGATGTTGAATGGAGAGAAAACATGATGTCGAGCAAGGGACAAGTTTTCTTTATTTAAAATCATTTAACCTTTTCTATCAGTGCGGGCGGAAACGCCCCACCTCACATCCGGTGCAATCGAAAAACCTGCACGCAGATTCTTGCTGGGCGCTTTATTTACGCATTCCCTGGTGCAATATGTATCAGCACGTGGCGACGTGTGCTTAGTGACGTGATTCTACAGCGTCCTGTGTTTTGCTTTAATGAACGCCGTGTTACTGAATAGGGAAGGACATGTCTTTTGATCATGCCAGTCTAAAAAATCTCGTTACTGAGTAAATTACAATGTTTTTGAATTTATATTTACTTACATCTCAATACTATGAAAACGGCAGCACAGGGTTAGATTTGTGTGTTCGCACGTATGTAGGTAATTTATAGTATGTTCTCATATAACACACATTTTTGTTTGTTTTTCCTTTTTTTTATCACCTTGGTCTTTTAAAAGATCCTGGACTGGACATAGCTAAGGAAAACCGTAGATATTAATGAACAGCATCGTTCTTCACCTTAAATGCAATAAACATTGTGGGTACAGAGACGAGAATGAGAACTGATGTCGCTAATAATTACAAGAAGATAAGACATACGAGATAATTGGGCATTTAGTTAGTAAATAAACGTCACAAATAATCTAAAACATGTATATATATATATATATATATATATATATATATATATATATATATATATATATATATATTTTCATATCTATCTATCTATTTTAGAATTAATACAGATATAATATTTCTCATTTAACTGATTGATGTTACTGTCGGTATCCCGACTCTAGAGTTTCGTAGACGGACCCTCACGCAATCACTCCATCCACTCGTCAGGGGCGATAGATAGATATCGAAATACAAAATAAAGCATTTCTTAAGACGGGATTGTTTTTTATGAATGGAATTAGTCACACACACACATACACACACACACACACACACACACACAACACACACACACACACACACACACACACACACACACACATATATATATATATATATATATATATATATATATATTTATGGAACAAGTTACATTTTGATTATAATCCTTTCATATTCACGAATATTTTTCCGAATGAGACATGAAATGCACTGTAACAGTGAGAATCACTTTTATTACCCAAGTACTTTCCATCTCTTTCTGATATATATATACATATATATATATATATATGTTTCGTCTACGAAACTCTGAAGTAGAGATGTTGAATATAACATCACTCAGTGAAGTGATAAATTTTATATTTGTATTAATACTATATATGTGTGTGTGTTTGTACGTGTGTGTGAGAGTGTTTTATATATATATATATATATATATATATATATATATATATATATATATATATATATATATCATAGAATAGTAATACCAAATCCTCCTCTGAGTGTTTCTTGCAATGGCAATCATCAGGTGGATGTTTGCCGTTGCTTGAAAATCTAAGTAGCGAATTTGGTATTACTAATATATTATAGCTAGTCTCTGCCGATTTTGGCATTGAACCCTCAGTTTATTTTATATTTTAAGTTTTTAGCTTATTTTAAGCTATAGCTTTTATATATAAAATATGTATTCCTCGGCCAGTTCTACAACTGTCTGTGTTTCCTGCGTGCTATGCACGTAATTCTTCTGGGGGTCGACATAAATACGTTTACTGATCTGGCTATTTTATTCCTGCCTCGGCTAACCGAATGTGTTAGGATAAGCGTAATTGGTGAATGCATATCATATACTCACCAACTAAAGTCATCGATGAGGGAATGCCCATACAGCCGAGAATGAAATAACCGTAAAGTCACTGATATTAGGAGCGCGGAGGGGGCGTGCAAAACATCATAATACATTTAATAGCGTGTTGAAAACGTGCTTAACGGCAGAAGAAAAATGACATCACTGCATACGAGCTTACAATGCAAACATCAAAAGTACTCGTCAATGCAGGCCAAAGCCTATATGTTCTGCCATTACGACATTGAGATTTCTTTCCACCATATCATTTTAAGTGTGCTCCTTTGGGACCCCTTTGACATTTTGCATATATATATATATATATATATATATATATATATATATATATATATATATATATATATATACGAAGAATTATAGTTTTAACTTGTGTTATATTTATGGGATAAAGTGTTCAATATCAGAGGTAGGGCGTATGTAAATATAAATATAAAAGTGAACATTGAAGTCAACACATTGCGTCTAGCATATATATATATATACATATATATATATATATATAATTTCACCCCTAGCAAGGCGATAATGCAACTAAGACGCAGCGGTTACAGGAAGTAAAAGAGAATGAGAAGACTTTTTGGAAAAATGGAGAAAAAAACAATGAAATAAGAGAACTCATGAAGTTAGAAGATGGCGATTGATGTTGCATTTGCATTTTTGAAGATTGTAGTTGTCAGGGAAGAAAGAAATCAGAAGGTATTTGCGCAGGTAAGAAGTGCAAGAAAATAAACTATTAGAATAGAACTGACGGTTGCATCTAGCTAGCGAGACCTACTTGCCAATCTAATATCACGCTTAAATTCGTGTGGTCGAGGCACTAAGGTAAACAGCTCATCAGAACAATTGGCATCGGTGAAAAAGTGACTAATGTTGAGATGGCTGGTCATGGTAGATTAAATTACAAACCTCTTCTTTGAACTTTGAGATAAGTCGTCAGAATACCAGAACAGATGTGGCAGCAATAATCAAGGCATGGCAGTGGAAGATGTGAGTCCAAAAAAAGTGTCAACTGTGGCTCTCCTGAAGTTTAGCATCAGGCATGCTGATGGCAGGAAGAAAAGATTCTTTGTGGTGACTGAATGAAATCAGTTTTGTTTTAGAAGTGTTCAAATTTAAAAGCCATTCCTTGTCTCAGTTAACCACTGATTAGAGGTCGTTTTCGAGAGTAGTTGCCAGTTTTACATTGTTGAATTTGTTTGAGTTGCTACTAAGAGAAGAGTAAATAGTTGCATCATCTGTATAAGAACACCGGTGAATCAACTAAACCCATCAAATTATCGTCCTATTTGTCTCTTACCTCTTTTAGACAAATTATTAGAGGTTCTGGTCAACGCCGTATTGATTAAACATCTTACTTCACACGACCTTCTTTCTGATAAACAATATGGTTTCCATTTCTCAAGGTCGTCCACTGATGTGTTAACGGTCATCACGGATTTTGCCTGTCAAGATTTAGATAAGAACAGCGAAGTTCGGGCAGGGGTTGGCATGCTGGCCTTCTCCACAAGTTCAAGGGCTACAATGCCTCTGGACGAATATTTAGCCAACCTAGTTGGGAACTGACGGCATCAGGAAGGTCGTTGATTAAGATCAAAAATGGTATAGGTCCGAGTATAATGCCCTGGAGGATCTCCGCATTAATATGACAAACTAGAAACGTGTCCGTTCAACACGACCTTCATTACACGCTTTGTTATGAACGATTGGATTAGGCTACTTGTGTCCTGTATGACATCCACGATTCTGACCCATAAAGAATATATATATATATATATATATATATATATATATATATATATATATATATATATATATACCATAGCGAAAATTAATTGAAACAACCAATTTAGTTTCCTTTCTTTCCCCATACGGTCAAATTTAGACCCATCGGCGGAGTGACAGGATGTAATCGATTTCTATTTTTTCATGAGATTAGGTCATCTGCAGTGGTGTGCAATATTATGAATCTATTTTCGGGGTGTGTGATGAAATTTGTTTGGCGTTGAAAAACATTGCGTCATCCGTGATTGTATCAGATTTTTATCACACCGAAACATTATTGCCTCGACTGTCGATTAGTTGTCCTACGACCATTGTCAGCGATGGTCGTTACTCCAAGGAAGTGTGCGAAAATTGTAACGCTGCACAAGCACACTGGCAGGCTTTGCCAGTGAGCAAATCAAAGTACTATAGACTGACCCGGAAACTCCTGTTTGAAATCCAATCGAGAATCTGTGATCAATCTGCAAGGAACGACTTCGTGGAATGGATATATGAAGTGCTAACATGTGCACTGGGTCATGTTTCATTGGAAAAATACAAAAAAGGGTAATGAATAACGGAATTATTCGTTTTGTTTCAACTGATTTGCACAAGGGTGTATATATGGATATTATAAGTTTCTTTTGTCCTAAAAACTCTTTCTTTTTTGAGGACGACTGTGTGTAGAAATTGTCAATACTATTTATTATCCCGAGCGCTTTCGGTTAATGCGTTAGCAATTTTTAAGGCAGTTAATTTTCCGCTATGGACACATTCAAACTTTTTTTGCATCTAGATGTCTTATTATCTCTGTGTTGTTTTCGAGGATAGACAATACAAAGATAATAAGGACATCGAATTGTAAATAACGTTCGGTAATATTAAAAGCATTTCTAATAACAAAAGCAACAGATCTTCCCTCAACAGCACTTCATTTGAACGGGACCAAAGCGCCTTGGCTGTGTTCGGAAACTAAACAAAATACGCCAATAAATGAAATTACTATTACCAATAATGCTTCTCACACAACCCAGTATAGAAAACAAAAGAAAAATATATTAACAGTCCTCGTTACTGCAAACATTAATGTTAATAGACGAAAGTAAGTAAAGACGAATTGCAGTCCTAATATACAATAAAGATATTTACATACGTAAATAACACCAGAATGATCTCCCTCATTTCTCCCATCACCGAAATAGTTCCCTTTCAATTCCATGCTTAGATTTACCAAACCTTGTTTCTTGTTAAATTTTCTCTGGCTGGCTGTTGTGCAGCACACGACTAAACATGCGGTGAAAAACGCTTTCAAGCACACGAGCTGCAATGAAAACGACTTTGCGCGCATGCGCGCTCTCAGACCCGCATGGACAGATTGTTTATACCTTTTCGCAATTGGCTAATGTGAGTGCTTATACATACATATATATGTTATTGTTAATTTATTTTGTTTAAACGTTATTTTTAATGGATACTCATATTCAAGTAGAAGCTCTATTTTTTAATTAAACAGTATTTATTATCCAATTATATCCACCAGTCTGAATATTTGAGAAGTCTTGTCAGAAAAATATGCGTCCTCCGGTAGCATTCTAAGCTGCATCCCCGATAGGGAACCGTCATTGGATCTGACCTGGCTAACCATTCACCCACGAAGGATTTCTAGTCAAACAAAGCCCGAATAAAATACTGTTTAATTAAAAGAAAAAGAAAAAAAAACAGTTTCTACTCGTATATGAGTATCCATCAAAAATAACGTTTAACCAAAATAAATTAAAAATAACAATATGTCGTATTTAATCCATTTTCCTAAAGATAAACACACACACACATGCACACACACACACATATATATATACATACATAGAGAGAGAGAGAGAGAGAGACTGCAACGCATGCAACTGGGTTGATTTTTTTTTCAGGGACAAATGTAGAGCGATAAAATCCCAATCATAAGTTTCGCAATTACTTATTTGCTAAGATGAAACGTTCCCCCACTACACGCAAAGAAGCGGGCACGAGCGTGCGTATGAGTGCGCGCGCGAGTACGTCTGAGTGCGCACGCGCGTGCCTGTGTGTGCGTGTGTGTATGTGTGTGCCTGTGTCTGTGCGTCTGTGTGCATATATAGATGTGTCAGTGCTTCACTAGCTTGTTATTGTTAGCATCGTCCGTGCCAATATACAAGTCATCCTATTTAATCAGACCACGTGTCTTGAGCGAAAGGGTGTGTTGCCAGTAATGCGTAGAAGATATAAATATATTGATTTTAATTTGTATGTATTAATATCTATCGCTTTTTTTTATCGTCTCTTCTTTTTATTTCTTTAAGGATTAACGTATTGTCTCAGTTTCTATCTATCTATCTATCTATCTATCTATCTATCTATCTATCTATCTATCTATCTATCTATCGTCTATTCACCACCTTTGAATCTATTTTTCCTTTTTTTATTACGATTTGTTTATTGTCCTTTCAAATTATATTTATTTAATTTCCCCCTCTTGATTTGTTTATATATCAAGTGCTTCTTCATTACATCTATCTATCTATCTATCTATCTATCTATCTATCTATCTATATATATATATATATATATATATATATATATATATATATATATATATATATATATATATATATATATATATATATATATATATATTCACCATCTATCAGTATATATTCACTATCTATCTATATATTTCACTCTATCTTTTCCATTTTTTATTGTCTATTGTCCTTTCTAATTATATTTATTTTTCCTTGATTAGTTTATATCTCTACGGCTTTTTTCATTACATTTTTTTTATCTATCTATCTATCTATCTATCTATCTATCTATCTATCTATCTATCTATCTATCTATCTGTCTGTCTGTCTGTTTGTCAAGTTACCTATCTCATTTTTTCATATGTAAGTGTATTCATATATTTTCAATTAATTCATAACTATGTCATTCTTTTGATTATCTATCTATCTATCTATCTATCTATCTATCTATCTATCTATCTATCTATCTGGATGTATGTATGTATGTATGTACGTACGTATGTATCATATGCACGTGCATATTTCCGGCAAGATATGAGTTAAAAGCCTGCTCCACTATAAATATTTACTAATTTGCGAGTATAACAAATTCTACAAGTACAACGATTAAGGTCATATGATCTCTCTCTCTCTTCTTCTTCTTCTTCTTCTTCTTCTACTTCTTCTCTCTCCCTCTCTCTCCCCCTCTCTCTTTCTCTCTCTCTCTCTCCAGATTATTTGAACCTCACAAATTAGAAATTTGCCGCATTCTTCAGTATAAAAAAAAAACTATGTTAAAAATATTCAGCGCGATTTTATACTTAATATATTTTCTTTTTAATGAATGCACACTGCTGAAGATGGTCGTTCTAAATATAAATACGACATGAAAATAATTTTATTTTCTATTCTGATTTGAAAAGAAGGCTGAAAGCGTAAAAGAGAATAGGAAAAGGAAGAAAGAAAAAATCGAATAAATCAGTATAAACGAAAGAATAATTCTAATTAAACACAACAGACGTTTCCTTTCTTTTTTTGTGTGTGTGGGGGAAGCTAAGTGCTGACAACGAAAACTAATATGACATTATTATGTTAATGCCGTTCACGACATTTGAAATCGGATTCATTCATTTGCTTTTCGTCGTTGACTACGTAGAACATTTCTAAGTTTACTTATGATTGTTTTGAAAATGGTTTTGTCGCGTCGAGAATGGTAGATTATTTTAGTCTATAATGTTATATTATTTAGAACCAAAAGTATGAAATGTGGTCGAAACGAAAATTATTAATTATGCATAGGTAAGGGAATATATGATGGCATGTATGTATGTTTACTTTGCCAGACTGACAGTTCGTGTAAATTATATGTAAATTTATGCACATATGTATATATTGAATGATCCGATCTACATAAAGATGGTGTGAATACAAGATAGATAGATAGATAGATAGATAGATAGATAGATAGATAGATAGATAGATATGACAAACTATATACGCATATCTGTGCGTGTTTATATCATCATCTATATAATAAATGCGAACGTCAGTGTGTCACTGTGTCACACTTTTTCAACTTTACTCCAAGAAGTCGTAGCGCAACATATCATACCATTTTGGGATCAGGGTGACTCTGTGAGCAAATTAAAAACAATCCTGAAATTTTGGATTCTCAATTTTTCATTACTACGATTGTTTTCGGCGATTTTTTACATGATTTTTTGCGGCGAATTTTTTGGTAAGATAACAATTTTTATAACATGGAAATAAATTTGGGAATAATCGAAATTAATTGCGAAATCCAGTGAAAAACACTCATGAAATAAAAATAATTATTTGTACGGAATGTAAGGACCTACGTACATCAAGTTGTCTTTAAATTAAATGGCGGCAGAAGAATTATCGTTGAACCTTTAAAAGATAAGCTTAAATATTAATGCAATATTTAAATGCAGAGATTAGTTTGAAATTCTTCAGTAGTTTATTGTTGCCTATCGCATCTACTTATCCCTACCTATTGTGATGAAAGCCCAATGAAGAGACCTCTGCAGGAGCTAGCTAGTGTATATATATATATATATAAAAGAAATATGTTGTAGTGGTTCCAACGAGAGAAAAGTATGTATATTAAAAAGAAGAGAAGAGAGGTGCCGCAAACGTTTTTTGGTTGTAATGTGGATTTATTTAGAAAAAATATTATGCTTTGTTTTACATAATTTTACGACACGTGTTTCTGGTCTCGCGACCGTCTTCAGGTAAAAGTGGAGATTGGTAACACACAAAACAGAGAATGTCTCATATCGAGAATATTTAACACAAAGTTGGTAACACACAAACAGAGAATGTCTCATATCGAGAATATTTAACATTGAATATGAGGAAAAATTAATTATTTTTAATAATATGTGGAAATCTCCACTTTTACCTGAAGACGGTTGCGAGACCAGAAACTCGTGTCGTAAAATTATGTAAAACAAAGCATAATATTTTTTCTAAATAAATCCACATTACAACCAAAAACGTTTGCGGCACCTCTCTTCTCTTCTTTTTAATATATATATATATATATATATATATATATATATATATATATGTGTGTGTGTGTGTGTGTGTGTGTGTGTGTGTGTGTGTGTGTGTGTGTGTGCATATCGACTGATACACAGCCAGAGCGAGAGTCAAACTACAAAAGTTTATCGCTTTTTTTTTAGGTAGATCTGAACAGATAGATAGATAGATAGATAGATAGATAGATAGATAGATAGACAGATAGATAGATAGATATTACTAATACTTTAAAATAGATGTGATTTTTTTTTTGTGTTTATAGATACAACGTCGATAAACTCTCGTTTATCGAGCACACCCTGCTGCTAGGACGGCTAACTAATCCCTGTCACAGACGTCTGCTCAGGCACTGTTGACACTTTTCAACATTTTCACCATGCTGAGTGGACTTAGTTACAGTTTCTAGGAGAGAGTGCATCATCATCAAAAGTTTGAACAACAGCTGTACATTCAAGCCCTCGGTCACGATGACTCGTTATTACACGACCATCGACGGCTTCCGTACAGTTCCGTCTTCCCAATTTCAATCGTGGTATGGTTTTCAAGCCCTTTTCACGTTAGGACCGCCTCCACAGTCATCTAACATTAACAAGTCACCTCCCTGACAAATCGACCACGGTGAGATTCGATCACGTTCTAACCACTTCACCCGGCGCCCCTATACATGCAAGCGTACATGGATGCCGATGGATGGACAGAAAGAACGTTATACTGTGTTTTTAGTGTCCCTGTAAATAGATATATGGGAACAAAGTGAGATAGATAGATAGATAGATAGATAGATAGATAGATAGATAGATAGATAGATAGATAGATAACGTACCAAATGAGATAGATAGATAGATAGATAGATAGATAGATAGATAGATAGATAGATAGATAATGTACCAACTGAGATAGATAGATAGATAGATAGATAGATAGATAGATAGATAATGTACCAACTGAGATAGATAGATAGATAGATAGATAGATAGATAGATAGATAGATAGATAGATAATGTACCAATTTTGACAGATAGATAGATAGATAGATAGATAGATAGATAGATAGATAGATAATGCTAATATGCAAAAATATATGAATATATTTGTGTCTGCGAATATAAATATACATTATTTTTTATTTACATGTAAAATATTCGACTCTGTTGATATCTGTTCTCATCGATGTCGATCGACCGTCAAACTGATCGATAGTCAGGCTGATAATTTACTATGTATGTAAAAATATGTATCTACCATATCTACATGTAGATACATGTAAGCATATTTTCATATATCTATATTCACCTGTACGTTTCTATGTGGCTATGTGTGTATTTATGTGCACATCAATCATACCTGTATTTTTAGAGTAGATTTCAACTCGTCACCTCACGACACGATTCCAGGATGTGGGCGATCATGGCTCCCCACTACTTCCCTTTCCTTGTGGCTCTTACCGGCGTTTATCCCTTTGCTAAGACTTCGCCCCCGTCCCCGGTTCTGTCATCCATTCGCACGAATTCTTCAGGTACGCAGGCCGCTCCCTCCCCCTATCTCTCGATATACCTTGTGAGGGTTAAGTTTTCCAAGCCCTCACCCCTTCCCCATCATGTGTCCCAGAAATTTCAGTTGTTTCTTTCTGAGTATGTGTTCTGTTTGTCACCATTTTGGGTTTTTTTTTTTTTTTGTTTTTTTTTTTAGACTTTCTCTTTTTCTTGCTTACTCGCTCCAACCATGGAATTATCAGTTCCGTCCCAGGATCAACACAATCTTTAACCTGTTTGAGTCTAGCGTTAGTCATTATCTTTCCCACATATCCCCATCATCTGCTCCCCTTGTTCTGTAACCATCTACCTCGAGTGGCTCTCAGGCCTTGTACATGGGTGAACATCATTGTAAAAGAAAAGAACTACGTTTCTATTGCCTCCAGTTTTCTCTTCATCCGCGGGGAGATTGCCCAGCATACACTGTCATATAAGAGGATGGATATCACATAGCAAATCAAGATCTTTTTCTAAGGAAAAGCCTTTACAATTGTGAGACGAAGAAGAAGAGATTTCCCAGGTCAAGGAGATTTTAAAAAATAACAGAAAACAATATTCTAGCGTCTATTTTTAATCCCATTCTTGTTTAAATTTCCTCGTCGGATATTATTATTATTATTATTATTATTATTATTATTATGTAAACAGTTGTCACAAAATATGTACAAACAGACGTGGACAGAGATATACGCGGTACTTTCAACTAGAGAGCGCGAATTCATTTGTATTTTTAAAATACGCCGGTAGGGATTTAATACGCTTTTTTGTATGTTTAGATTTTCACAACGAACCAAGCTGATTCCAAAGCAATAAGAAATATATAAGATTGTCATTTACGTAGTGTATAATTATAATTATATATATACACAGCAAAAGAAAGATAGATTGACAAAAGTTGAAAGAAAGAAAAAAAAAATAAGCATGAAGATAGATACATAGAAGCGAGGCGATATGAATAGAATTATATTGTTATATAACTTAAACACTTTTCACTTTTCTTTTCTATGCATTTGCGCTTAGATTATATTTGTCTATGTAAGAACGTGTGAACATAAACAAGGTATTTGCTTCCGATGTTTACAAAGCAGACACTGACGTTCAAACACCTAACCACACCACGTCAGTCACGCTTGATTCAAGTTCAATTTGAAAACTTCGAAAAGTGTAAATGTATAGAATATACCCATAATGCATTTGTTACAGAAAGGACGTAAAAGAACAAAATCTATAAACGAAAGAAAATTAACTGATAAAAAAGAAATAAATAAAGACGCGTGCATATACATAAAAAGAAGAAAAGGAAATGAAAGAAAGCATCTAAAAGTAATTAGTAAAGAAAATTTACTTACCATACAGATCACAGTGACCAGGGAATGAATGGATGGATACCACACCTTGATTAGAGACATCTTAGTATTTGTCCGTTTTCGGATTTTGTTATTGGATGATTTCATTTGCAGTCGAAGTATCTTCTTATCTGTTTTTGCTATTTTTCATATTCCTTAGGCTGTTTATATACATACATATCTATCTATCTATCTATCTATCTATCTATATATATATATATATATATATATATATATATATATATATATATACATTCACACAGACACACACGTACACACACACACTCACACACACACGTAATATAAATATATA